TGTAATATGATGAAATAAAAAAATAAACAGAGCTGAATCCACTAAAAAATGATATAGACAATATTTATTCTAAAACTTACAAGGAAAGGTGTAGAAACTAGAATAGCTAAAACAGTGTCTATAAAGAAGAATAAATAGGAGGAATTAGCTTACTCCATTTATAATCTTATTATAAAGCAAATAATCAAGACAGTGGCAAAAGGGTAGGCACATACATCAATGGAACAGAATAAAGAACCCCAAAATAGAACCACACAAATAGATTCATCTGGTTTTGGGAAGTGAGTATGTCCATAAATTGGCAACATACAGAATCCATATTGTATATTTTTACTACATTAATATCAATATCCTAGTTTTGCAGGATGTTCCCACTGAAAGAAATTGGTTATAGTGTACACAGGATTTATCTCTATTCTTTGTCACGACTGCATGCAAATCTAAAATCACTTCAAAATTTAAAGTTTAATTAAAAATATTTAAAGGCAATGAGAACAGGTTATATATTGGCATAATAAATGGCATGAATGGACACCATTTATTTAGATTTTCAAATTGCCTTTGAAAAGTCTAACATCAAAGAAGTTTGGATTTGAGGAAATTATCATGGTTAAAAGAGCGAATTTGGAATCAGATAGTATTTTATCTTTAAATGAAAAGAAAAGTGTGTGTACATGTGTGCATGGGCATGTATGTGTTGTGTATGTATATTTCTCAGCTCTGTCCACTAAAAACACCTAGAAACGCGGACTAATCCAATAATAAGGTACTGTTGTGTTTGCCTGGAGTGCCAATGGCTGTCTCTAATGTCATGTTCCCACTAAAATGGGCAAGGGCTCCTGGAGAGAATACTTGATTTCAGATTTGGAGCCAGAAAAAAAAAAAAAACATTTTTGGAACCACCAATGCCAGTTTTATGTAATACATTATCAGTTATTTGCACTACCATGTTAATTATGATAAAATATCTAAGCTATTTGGGTAGTCTCTAACATTTGTACCGAGCTGTCAATTTAAATCCCTTCAATACGGTGGTCATCTGTACCTTATGTATAGGGTCAGGGCTATTAAAGTTGGAAGGGGAGATATTATTTAACACATAAAAAAGACTCAAAAAACTTAAGAAGCTTGTCCAACATCACGAAAATAATTAAGCCCACCTGCTCCATTGTTCATTAATTTATACAAATGCCCTGGCAATAAAACGATTTTGGTAAACATTGTACTTCCTACAAACATCAAACTGCCTTCATTGAATGTAGCTGCGTATGTGTGTTAAACACCTTTTTCTAAGTAACTTAGCAAGTTGGAGTCTTCAAATTGGAATTTTGAACTTAGTTTTAATGGAAGACTTTCAGCTTTTTCTCTAGATATCCATGTACAACAAGGGTGCCCTGTATGAGAATTTTCTGAAGCACATGATCTGTGATAATGAAAGACTGATCGACACAATCTTAAAGTAAAAGACAGCACAATAGTATAGCTATATTTTGTTACAGTATAATAAACACTTCTTGTCTATTTCACCAAATAATTATAAAATACATTCAATGCACAAGGCATTTCACTAGTTGTTGCAGAGACAGAACTACATAAAGCATAGTCATTGCTCTCAGGCACTTGGTAGCAATTTTACCAGGAGAGTTAAGAAGGTTCATCACAAAACAAGCCCATAACAGTAATAAAGGCCGACGGAATGTATTTAGAGAAAATCAGTTTGTTCAACTGCGTGTGTGTGTGCATGTGCGTGTATGTACGTTTCATTTGAAAGCATAAGATTCCCATGCAGAAAATAGGCTAGAATTGTAGGTTGGAGCCATATAAAGGCGGCCCTATATGACAGGTCAGGGTTTCTGAATAGGAAAAATGACATTCTCAATTTCAATATAGGCTTCAAATAGCAGTGTTGAACTAAGGTGAGAATACAAAAGGCCAGTTTTTAGCCTTTTTGACTATTTGCCTGTCAAAATAATAAGTGATGGTTTTTACTAGTGGGAAGGCAGGAAATACAAAAAGTGAGGATTAAAGGGGAAAATGAGGTGAAAGGACAGCCATTGGCAGACGGCAGGGAGCAGTTCTGGGGGGAAGGGGTCCCAGATGGCACCAGGGCTCCCAATCTAGATCATGAGCAGCAGTGAACGAGAAGAATAAGAGAAGACCTGTTTTGAGAAGGAGGGATATTCAGAGAGATTTTCAAGTGAGATAGTTGTGAGTTTTTCCTTAAAGTAGGAAATATGGTCATCTACTGATGATGCAAACCTGGGCCTGGGGCTGGAAGCTTGGAAAGAGGCAAACAGATTTATTACGATTACCAGGAGATTTGTAAAGTGGTGTCATTAAGAGGTAACAGGGATCTTTTTAGCAACCGGCAGGGTCCATCTGAGACACCAGCATAAATTTCTGGCAGATGCAAATGAGTCTGAATTACAATTAGATCCAATGAGTGATCCAGCCCCAAGCTAGAGTTAGGAATGACTGACTAAGAAAAATGGTAGAAGCTTATCAGTGCCCTTTGCTGCTCAGATGGCTGGGCCTAAGGTTTAGGCTCTATTGAGACCTGAAAGAAGTTGGCAGGAGGCGATGGTTTCAGAGACTGCAGGAATTGAGGGAGAAGAGATGCCAAGGGGAGTGACAGGCACATGCAGAGAGAGGGAGAGGACAGCACAGACCATTGCAGAGGAGAGTCAGAGATGTGTCTATGGCGGAGGTGGAGTAGTTCTATGTATCTGCACCGGAAATATTCAAAGTCACAGAGAAAAACGTGCTGGGAGAAATTTGGGCAAGATCTTTAGCAAACGCATACTCCTCTTTGATGCAACTGAAATGGCATCGAGAAAGCTGGGGCTGAAGTGAAAACTCAACCCTGGCACTCCGAGAATGTGATGCTTGTGCCAGGCATACTGAGAAGGGTGCCAGGAGAAATGAGATCAACTTCTGTCAATTTTCCAGAAGTGACTTGGAGTCACTAACTACGAACGTCGTGCGGGCATGGTTGGGTGATGCAGCCACACAGTGGGACTTTGTGTCTGTTGGGACGACTCGCACTATTTGAAACACCTTACATTTTGAATTACTCTCTTTGGTCTACAAAGAACTCTGATATATATTCTATCACAATATTAACAGTATGGTTAGGTATTTTTACTCCCAATTTGCCAATTAAAAAAATCGAAGCTCTGAGACATTAAATGACTTGCCTAAATCCACATAGATCCAGGGTGGCTTCTGAAAATGTGTTGACTTTTCTCCCACGGTTTTGCTGGGCACCGCACTTCCCGATGTAGGAAAGCATAGAGACGCCAACCTCAAGGTCAAGGCTTCTCGACCTCAACACTTTGGACATGGATGGCCAGATAATTAGTGGGAGCTGCCCTGGGCTGTGAAGGGTGTTTGGATTTGGAAATGTCTCTGCTCAACTCTCAACCCCAGTTGTGACAAACAAAAATGTCTCTGGACACTGGCACGTGGCCGCCAGAGGACATGATCACTCCTGGTTAAGAATCACTGCTTTAGATGATACAAAATTGTTCATATTTAACAATGTATACTGTGTAGCCTAATATGTTGCTCGCATTCTGGTGCATGTACTAACTGGATGATTAGGGAATGATTTCATTGAACCTGGAAATTATTTTGGTTTTTGGCATTGCCACTTAGCTTGACCAGTCTTCTGACCCAAATTTATTGGAAAACCTGGGAATGTGCAGGATGTCCTGGGATTTCTGTGATGTTTAGGCTCCTATGACAGCAAAGAATAGAAATTCAGGCTGCATTGTAAACCAAGGGCATAATTTAGAAGCCTTGCAGGAAGCAAGACTCAGTAGGGATCATCTGGTTCTTCTCCAGCTTCCTCCCACTAGTCACACGAACTCTTTCTAATGGCTCCTTTCTCTGTGTCTGCCTAGTGCCCTTTCCCTGCCAGTGATCCGGTCCTCTCTGTGCTCTCAAAGAAGTGGTTCTAACCACTCACACTCCCTCCTGGGTGATGCTTACACTGCCTCCTAGGTGGTGCTCACACTGCTCCATGGGTGGTGGTTACACTCATACCAGGGTGGTGCTCATAGTCTTCCCCCATAGGTGATGCTCACACTCATCCACAGGTGGTGCTCATGCTCCCTCCTGGTTGGTACTTACACTGTCTCTCCTGGATGGTGCTCACAGTCTCCTGGGTGATGCTCACACTGTCTCCTGGGTGGTAAGGCATCATTGGTCAGCTGCCTCCCCTGGTTCAATCCTGGTCCACTCAGGACAAAGAACAGGCTAGGACACCCTGCCATGCTCCAAGATGTTTTTCCAAAAAGCAGCTTTTCAAACTGGCAAGCCTTTTGACAGATGGGTAAATGGGTGGCTAATCTGCTTCTCATGACTGCCCTGGAAGTGGACACTAGTTAGCTGGGACTGAGAGAGGCAACAAAATCATTTCTGTCTCCCAGCCCCTACTAGCACACCAATGAAACCAGGCAATAACGTCATTTAAATGTATTCATAACTAAACTATGGTTGAGAAAATTGTCTTTTGGACAATCTAGATTTAATTGTTTCATGTTTTCTTCATTTTAAAGACTTCAGATTAACTGTTTAAATGATCCAACAGAATCCTTTTAATGAGGAGTCTATTTAATTTCTCTAACTGAAATCACACAATATCCCCAAAGTGTTGCAGAATCTTTTTACTTGGTTTAGTGAGTTTCCTGAGCGAGTTAGAGTCTTTAAGAATAAAGAGGTTTACATGAATGTGAGTCATCACTATTTGCTCTTAAACTTGGGGATCAGAGGAGAGCTTCACGAAATAGAACAGGAGAGGTTCCTTTGTTTAATGTATGGAAAGAGAACAGGCAAATGATAGCTTTGAACTTGCTGGTAATGTGAACTCCAAGACCTGGAGACACTTCTTTTATGAATAATTTAAAACTGCAGCTGAGTCAAGTTATTCTTTAAAGAAATTTATTTTCACGGTCATGTTTAATCCTTAGTAATTACACTGTTTTCTCTGATTCTAGGTAATGTATGACATTGTTGGAGCAATTGAAAAAAATAAAGACTCCCTTTCGCAGAATCTTCTATTTGTAATGAAAAGTAAGTTGATTTTTTTTTCCCATCCTACACTGGTTAAAATGCCATACAGCCCTTATTTCTTTATCTCTGAATATTTTCCTATAAAATATGCTGCTAGCTAAAAGATAATTGAAATATCTTTTGCATTCTAATGCCCAGAATAATAAGGAATGGGTCTTGCCACACTGTACATCGGTTATGATTTAATTTGGAGTCCAGTGGAAACCATAATTTAACTAAGCTTTTAGCGGATAAAAATGTAAAACACCTTTACTACTTTAGTGGTATGAATATAAAAAAGCTTTCCTCTGAAGACTAATGAAGATGAATATGGATTCCAAAGTTATTTAGGCCACAGTAGGCTGAATTTCATTACTTAAGATTACTCTGGAGCACAACTAAGGGTGGTATTTTATTCTTATGTACTTTCAGCTATAATGTGTTAATGCTCACTGCATAGAAGGGGCCTATAAATTAATGTGTGTGTATATCCATGTATACATTAATTTATATGCTTCTACATAGCACTAATACTTTATATACATATATATACACATATATGTCTTTTTATACATGTCTATTATATTTCTATACAATATATAAAACTATATACAAAGTTTATATATGCTGTAATTAAATGCATATACATACATATATAAACATATATAATTCTGTCTCCCCTATAAATTATTTTCTTAGCAGTTCTTCAGTGATTCACATTTTTTAAATAACATTTTAATGACTTAAAACATATCATCTTATGTCCTTTAAGTTGCTCTAAGTGAGATAGAGTCATCTGTCTTTCCTGGTAAAAGAAGTATATGATAGCTTTTCATGAGATAGTTGAATGCCTTTGAGTTGGGAATAAGACATCCATAGCACTTCTGGTCTGAGGAACATACGTGCCTCAAATCACAGTGGTGCAGTTGTAATACATTGTTTTTTTGTTTTTTTTTTAATTTCAGGTATTATGAGGGTACAAACATTAAGGTTACATTTTATGTCTTTGCTTCACCCAAGTGAGGGTTAGAGGCATGCCCTTCCCCCCTACAATGCTTCCTGTGTCCTTTAGTTGCGGGTTTAACCCCCCATCCCCCTAATCCCTTGAGAGTATTTCTGCCATGTGATCACCCTAGCGTTGATCAGTTAGTACCAATTTGATGACGAGTACAAGTGGAGCCCATTCTTCCGATCTCGTGGTGCCTCACTTTGGATAATGGGCTTAAGTTTAATCCAGGAAAGTATAAGAGGTTCTAGATCACTGTAGTTTCCTATGATTGAGTAATATTCCATTGTATACATACACCAAATTTCAATAATCCATTCATGGATTGACGGGCAATTGGGTTGTTTCCACATCCTTGCAATGGTGAATTGTGCTGCCATAAACATTCGGGTGCAGATGTCTTTATCATAGAATGTTTTGTGCTCTTTTGGGTAGATGCCTAATAGTGCTATTGCTGGATAGAATGGAGGGTATTTCTATTTTTAGCTCTTTGAGGTATCTCCAAATTCTTTTCCACAGAGCTTGCACTAATTTGCAGTCCCACCAGCAGTGTATGAGTGTTCCTGCCTCTCCACATCCTCGCCAATATTT